TATGAACCAGGAGGTCACGGTTCGATTCCCAGTCAGGGCACATGCCCAGGTTGCGGGCTTGATCCCCAGTGTGGGGAGTGCAGGAGGCAGTTGATCAATGATTCTCTCTCATCATTGATGCTTATCTCCTTCTCTCCCTCTCCCTCTCCCTCTCCCTCTCCCTTTAAAGAATAAAAATAAATAAATAAATAACCTGCTATATTTGGTCAAACATTTAATTAACTCACTCCTCATGCCTTGGCAGGGCCAGAGCCAGTGATTTCGCAGGCCTTATATGGCCCTCGGGCCGGACGCTGCCCACCCTGCTCTGAAAGGTGATTTAGCTGTAAGCCTCCCTGGTATTCCATGACCCTGCCCGAGAGTGAGGCCCTGAGGTAGGGCACGGCGTGCGGCTTCACAGCCAGCACTGGCCTGCACTGTGCCCATTAACACCCTGGCTGGCATATGGCATGGCATCACCGTGGCAACCAGAGGCAGCGTCCAATCTCTGGCTTGGCCATCGAGGGCTGGGTGACCGCAGACAGCCCACCTCGCTGTCCTGAGCCTCCATTTAGATCAGGGGTTCTCAACCTGTGTGTCGCGACCCCTTTGGGGGTCGAATGACCCTTTCACAGGGGTCGCCTAAGACCATCGGAAAACACATATATAATTACATATTGTTTTTGTGATTAATCACTATGCTTTAATTATGTTCAATTTGTAACAATGGAATTGGGGGGCACCACAACATGAGGAACTGTACTAAAGGGTCGCGGCATTAGGAAGGTTGAGAACCGCTGACTTAGATGGACTTCCCTCCGCTCTGCCTGCTCCAAGTCCGAGGATTCTAGAGCAAGGGGCCTCGGGAGAACCCGGCCACATTATGAAAGGGTAACAGTGGCCACTTCTACAGGAAGTCTCAGAGATCAGTACAGGAGATCAGCTCGCGGGAGCGGAAGAGAGATGAAGCAAGAGGCAAGACAGTTAAGAGTCCTGCGCGCGAGGGCTCCTCGAGCAGGCCCAGCAGGCCCAGGAGGCCCAGGAGGCCCAGGAGGCCCAGGAGGCGCAGGAGGCCCAGCTGGTGCTGCGGAGTCTGCAGGTGGGAGCCGCCCCCGTGGCGATGCTTTTCTTGGAGGGATGAGGATGGGGGAGGCAGCAGGGCCCCCAGCCAGCTCGATGACAAGGATGCAAAGGGCTGAGTCCTCTTTTCTTGTGAATGTGGGGCTCTCTCTGGTCTAACGGAGGGCACCTGGGCAGGAGATGGGGTACATTGCCTGCCTTTAAATGCCATGTGACCCTGGGCAGCTCACCTGGCTCCTCAGAGCCTCGGTTTCTCTATCAAGTTGGAGGGAAGAGGGGTGACTGGACCAGAACAAGGCGCGAGGGGGGCTCTCAGACCCCTCGCCTGGACAGTTAGGGTCTGTGACTGCTGTCATTTGTAGTTATTGGGGTGAGGGGGTGAGCGCGGACCCAGCCCCTCACCCCTTTGGTGAGAGAGTGATGGGGGTGGGGGACGCCCCGGGCACCTGCAGACACTGACTTGTGACTCTGATTTGCCTGATTTCTTGGGCGAGGAGTGTGGGGAGAGGGCCGGGCTGCAGGGTGTGCGATGTGTTCCTGGTCACGAGGGGGCTTCTGGCTGGTGAGGGAGTGAGGGAGCGAGGTTGCGATGATCCAGGAAGGGGAGGGGGTGCTCAGGGGTGCCCCTGCTGCTGACTCCAAGGCCTGTGTTTCTGAGTGACGGAAGGGCAGGGACCTTCGCCCGGGGCTGCGAGGGCTGAGGGGCTGTGGTGAGCACCAGGCTGGCTGGTGGGAGCTGCTGAGGGAGTGTGAGCGTGTGCGGATGAGGTGACCGAGGGTGTCCCCCTGCCTCTGATGGCCGTGCCTGGCCCTGAGGGGCACAGACTGCTCCTGGCGGGGGCCGGAGGCTCCTGGGGGGACACTGCTCTGACGGTGCCACCGGTGCTCTGGGCAGTGCTGGCTGCAGGGCACCTGCTGTCCCTCTGCCCAGGCTCCTGACGGACAAGGAGGCGGCGTGGCTCCTGGGAGGGAGGGCGGACCGGCTCCCAGGGCTGGTGCTGAGGCGGCTGAGAGGGCTGGGTGCTGCTTTCACACCAAACGCCCGCTGGGAGCTGGGAGCTGGGAGCTGGGAGCTGGGAGTGGCCGGGGCGGTGCAGCGGCGAGCTGCCCCCAAAGGACGTTAAGAGCGTCTGGTGTCCTGGAAAGTGGCCTCAGGGAATGGACTTCAGGATCCTACCTTCCCTGACGTATGGAGCTGACAGGCTCCGCGCTGTGGCCCCACATCACAGAGACTTCCCCCAGCACTGCGGTTCTAGAAGCTTCCGCAGTGGGAATGTTATCATCTGCCTGTATCTCCTTCAAAGGAAGTGGGTGTGAAACTCGAGTTTCCAAATCCCACAACCGCGAGTAAAGCCACCCCTCTGCCCGCCCATGGGGCTGTCACGCCCACGGCTGCTCCCGGGCGTCTGTGACTCACCGATGGGCCCCCTGCCACCCAGAGGCATCTGTCGGGAAGTGGTCGTGCTCCCTCCCTCCCTCCCTCCTCAGTTTCCTCATCTGTCAAGTGGGTATAAATCGCGTCTGTACAGTACCCGGCTTCTGTGAGGCTCAAATGGAATGTCACCCTCTCCACGTTGTCAGCACCATCGCCGTTGCCGCGTCACCAGCCGTCACTGTGGGCTGGGCGGCGGCGAGGCCTTCTCCTGGGTCACAGATGGGACAATGTCGCCGGGTGCCGACCGAGGTGAGGCTCGGCTCCAGGCGGTGGGGATAGAGCAGAGAACAAAAGGGTAAACTTCCGACTCACAGGAGGCTTGTGTTTCCTGAGAGGAGATGGAAATGACACAAAATCGGATAAAAGACTATCTGGGAAGGTGACAAGCGCTCAGAGAAAGTGAAGCCAGAAGGGGTGGCGACTCACCTCTAAGGATCTCACCCAGTCCTCACCGCAGCCCCGTGGTGAACATGGCTCCTCTCACGTTCCCGTGGGGAAACCGAGGTACAGGACGCCACGTGGCTTGCCCGGGTCACGCTGGCCAGCGGCAGGACGAAGCGCGGAGCCTGACTCCAGAGCAGCGGCCTCCTCGCCTCCTGCCGGGCCCCTTCTCCACACCCAGGGGTCAGAGGGGTGCACTGCTCCTCGCTCACCACCTGCTCGCCACCTGCCGGGTCTGGTCACCCCAGTGCAGTGCGTGCTGGCTCTGGGGCAGGGGCTGGGCAGGGGGGTCTCAGAAGAGGTGCTGGTCACTGCTCAGGGGATTGGTCCCATTGGCCAGTCCGCATGGAGCCGATGCTCCCACGGTGGCCGCTTCCCAGCCCGAGGTCAGGCAGAGGTGCCCCGATGGGCTCACGGCGCCGAGCCCGGCCCAGCACCACTGCAGCTTGACATCTATGACCGGAAACAGACTTTGCAGGCCCGAGAGTGGCAGGCAGAGAGACGGGGAGAGGAGCGACACAGGTGGAGACACACAGACAGGAAGAGAAGGAGACGACTTCACCAAAGCTTGGGGGCCTCCGGGGGTGAGGATTGCTTCATCCACGTCCTGTGCACCCCGTGTGAGGAAATCCGCCCACGGGCGCTGGGCCAGTGGCTCCTTCCATCTTCCCTGAGGCAGGCTCCCTGACCCTCACTCAGCCTGTCTGTGACCTTTGGCCCCAACAGACAAAGCCCGGAGGGGTGGCTCCTGCTGCCTCAGTTTCTCTGCACTTGCTGCTCACTGCTCCTAAACCCCACCCACCTCCTCAGAGCCTGGCCAAGGCCCACAGGAAGCTGCCTGGCCATTGCACATCAATCCCTCTCACCCCATACATTTATGTACCAGGACTTATTCCCTCCAGGGCGGGCCCCCGACTACCCCTTCCACACCCCAGCCTCCCCTTCTCCTGCCCTGGGGCCTCACGTGGACAAAGCCTTATCCATCAAAATCCTTATTAATTGACTGACTGACCTAAGACCTTCAATGACAGAAGAAAGGACCCTAATGAATGAATTGGACGACACTTACTTGAGCACCTACTATGTGCTAAGGAGCTGAGGATAATGTGGAACAAGGTGCACAGTGACATCCATAGGGGAGCCCAGGGCATCGTGGGGCCACAGACAGGGGCATACTGAACCCTACTTGAAGTTGGGGGTGGCTGCAGGGAAGGCTTCTTGGAGGAAGCAGAGGGAGGAAGAGGTGTCAGCTAGGTGAGGGGGTACGAGAGTCTGGAGGTTGGGGCACAGGGACCAAGGGTGGGAGGGAACCTGGCCTCCTGGGAGTGGGGAGTGTTCGGAGGGGTGCTGTGGACTGCGCGGGGTGAGGGTGGGGAGTGAAGGGGGTCACATTCTGATTCCTGGGTGGGCGTGTGGAAAGAGCAGAGAAATGGTGTTGGGGAGAAAGCAAGGCTGGAGGCAGGTGACTGAGAGGGAGGAGGCAGCTGTGGGGGGTCCCTCCCCTCGGGGAGGGGGGAGGAAGTGAGCTGCAGGAGCAGCGGGAGGGACGGCTCACCAGGTGCTGCTGGCCCTTCAGACGTGGGACTCGGGACGAGCCTGTGTAGCCACCCCAAGGCCTAAACCAGAACCTGTCCCGAACAGGGCCTCCTTATTCAACAGCCGGGGAAGACCCTGGGCAGTTGAGCAGAGATCTGAAGACGAGGGTGCGGGGAAGAGCATTCCAGGCCGAGGGAGCGGGAGGGGCAGGGCCTGGGCAGGCTGTGCTGGAGGCCAGGAGGCCTCAGGCAGGGCGGCATCACCCATGGTGGGTTCTCTCCAGGGCTAACGGGGAGCCAGGGAGGGATTGCAGCCGGCTGTGACCGTGCAGCAGGCAATGATCCCTCACCATTCTCTGTCCCCAGGCCAGAGCAGCATGGAGGCTGGGCACAGAGCCGCCCGAAAAGGCCGGAAACTGGGCTCCAGCCGGCGGCGGCAGACACGGGAGCCCGCTGCTGGCCAGGATGGCCCTGTGGCTCCAGAGTCCTGGCCCTCCCAGGCAGCGGAGGAGCTGCAGGGCTTCTTCCAGGCCTGTGGTGCCGCGGAGAGGGGCTTTGTCACCCGCGAGGACCTGGCGGTGAGTCAGAGGCCCCGTCCCACCCTGATCCCTTTCCAAGGCTCCCGCCACCCAGGACCGCAGGGCTCGCCTGCTCTTTCCCTTTCTCTCATCTAAACTTTGACCTCAGAAAAGGCTAGGAATTTGTTTATACTAATGTGCAAATGACTGATAAGGCTCTGTGTGTTACCCTCTTTCAGAAACATTTACATTTTGACAAAGGGAAGGACTTTAAGCCAAAGAACTAACTTGCAAATGATGTAACTTTTAGGCCCACTGAGCAGGGAAGTCTAGCTTAGAGGCCTGGAAATCAAACCTTGTCGATGATCGGAAACTTGAAGGAAACATAAGGTCAGCCATGGTCGTGTGTTCCGGTGAGGAGTCTTGGGCTGTGGCCTTGACCAGATGGACAGATTTTTTAAAAAATATATATTTTATTGATTTTTTACAGAGAGGAAGGGAGAGGGATAGAGAGTTAGAAACATCAATGAGAGAGAAACATCGAACAGCTGCCTCCTGCACACCCACTACTGGGGATGTGCCCGCAACCAAGGTACATGCCCTTGACCGGAATCGAACCTGGGACCCTTCAGTCCTCAGGCCGACGCTCTATCCACTGAGCCAAACCGGTTAGGGCAAGGACAGATTTTTCTTTGGATTTTCCTCGCTCCCTGCAAAGGGGCCTCTGTGGGCTGCTCAGGTCTGGCTGGGCCTGCTCCTCCTCCCGATGCTGCTCCCTGCTCCGGACTTTGTCCTTCCCCCAGCAAAACTGCCCTTCCTATCCCCCAGCCTCAGCCCCACAGCAAGGTCTGAATGGCCGATGTTCAAATATAATTTTCAAAAGGATAACAAAAAAGACTTTGAAGTAAATATAAAAATCAGCACTTATCAAAGGTCTTACCTAATTAATTATTGTTACTAATTAAGAAGGGAGCCAGTAAGATGTCCCTGGTGGGTTCAAAGAGCATTTGAGGAGCTCTTTTGATTTTTGCGATATTTATAGGCAATTTGACAGAGGAGCGTTATGATGAAATTGCTGAGTTCAGTTTTAAAAATGACTCATGTCCAACAGCCATCAATCTTGGGGGACATCTGTTCTGCTAGGCAGAATGACTTCCATCTCTCCTGGACAAAAACCTACAAGTTAACAAGTAACCAGAAGTCTGGGACTTTGAATTAAAGGTAAACAATGAGATGAACTAAGTGCATTCCTCTGGTCTGTACAATGCGCTGTCTACCTTATTCCCAAGTTTCAGGCTTTTACAACCTCTGCTCGTGGCTCTGCTGTCTAGCGTGACCATCTGCCCCAGTTTGCCCAGGGCTGGCGGGTACCAGGGATGTGGCCCTTTCCAGACTGAAGCTGGCCACCCAATGTCTCTCCTAAGGCCAAGAAACCAACCCAAGACTCTCTTTCTTTCCACCAGCTTTTGTCTGCAGGCTCTATAAATGTGAGGGGCTTTCTTCTTGGGGTCCCCAACTTTTCTAGGGTCCCCCTCCTGCCCAGAATGGCCTTCCTTATCACCTGGCTCCTAGGAGGGCTTGGCAGGGGTTGGCTCCGTCTTCCTCACAGTGGATTTGTCACACCTGATTGGATGCCAATCACCCTGCAATATGACACTACAGTTACGCAACTGATTTATCTAATCTAGCTCCACAAAAGGAGGACAGATTCTTACTGCACCTGTGTGAAGGACGATGTTGCGTGGAAAGTAAAAGTACTGGTTTCTAAATCAGGAGGGACCTGTGAGATTCAGATACCATTTAATATGTTTAATTTCAGTTTACAAAAGCCATCACCTACTAAACTGAAGGTTAGAGATAGCTCCGGAAGACAGGACTTTCTCATAGGTCCATAAAAATAATACCAACGATGTTCCCAACAAATACCACGACCAGATTTCCCTGGACCCTTCACTCGGTTCCGTGGAACTAGTTCTTGTTCTGGGGGACCTTGGAGAGCCGGCAGCTGCTGGGCTCAGGCTGAAGGGGGTTGGCTCGGTGTCCCTCCCCAGGGGAGCGCCCGCAGCGCGGAGAAGCGGGCGCAGTCCCTCCCCCAGCTTCAGCTTCGGTCTGTCCTGCCGGAGCACAGACTGTGGCTGCAGCTGTTCACTGAGCCTCGGGCAAGGCACAAGCTTACTTAGGAGGCAGACTGAGCGGCTGTGGTTACCTGTTACAGGAACTACTGTAGAGAGTGGACGAGAGCCAAGCTCTCTACTGGTCAGACTGTGGCTGCAGCTGTTCACTGAGCCTCGGGCAAAGCACACGCTTACTTAGGGAGCTTGAGCGGCTGTGGTTATCTGTCACAGGAACTAATAACATTAGAGTGGACGAGAGCCAAGCTCTCTACTGGGGACAGAGCTATGCACAAGGGCTGACCAGCGTTTCCCCTGAGGTAGTGACGGCGTTGAACAATCTCCGTGGCCTTCCGGTACAGCATGCAACTTCTGAAATAGTTGTGTTAGTGGCATTTACCTCCATAAACATCCCAGGAGAGGCCACCATCTCTTCTGAGTTGATGTTCTTCCTACAATGCTCTTCTGTTTTGCTCCCAAGCCACGTTTAATAGCAGATTTTATTACAGGCTAAAGCCTCAGTTTTCATGTTCTTCTACAGGCAACAAAGATTACAATATTTTTTATTGATCATGATCAGCTTATCTTTTAGAAGCAGGTGTTAAACACAATTGTATTAATTAATCTTAATGAACTTAAAAATTTAAATATATATATATATATATATATATATACACACACACACACACATATATATACATATATATACATACACACACACACACACACAGTACATAATACTTGATGATGATAATAAATGACTATGTTACTGGTTTACATATTTACTATGCTATACTTTTAATCATTTTGTAGTGTACTTTTTCTACTTTTAAAATAGAAGTATTTAGTACGCTCAAATATATACACACACACATATATATACATATATATACACACACACACACACACACACACAGTACATCACGTCTTCTCCATCCATTCGCCCATGAGGGGCGCTCGGGTTGTACCATGTCTTGGCTGCTGTAAACAATGCTGCGGTGAACACAGGGAGCATTTCTCTTTTCGAATTAGTGTTTTCATTTTCTCCAGATAAATACCCAGAAGTGGAATTGCTGGGTCATATGGTAGTTCTATTTTTAAAAATTTTGAATAGATTTTTGTTTTTAATCCTCACTTGAGGATATGTTTATTGATGAGAGAGAGAGAGAGAGGAGAGAGAGAGAAACATTGATGTGAGAGAGAAACAGCAATGGGTTGCCTGCCACATGCACCCTGACTGGGCATCGAACAAAAACCTAGGTATGTGCCCTGACCCGGAATCGAACCTGCACTCTTTTGATATATGGGGCGACGCTCCAACTAACTGAGCCACCTGGCCGAGCTCTATTTTCAGTTTTTTGAGGGACCTCTATATTGTTTTCCATAGTGGCTGCACCAATTTATGTTCCCACCATGACTGCACAAGGGTTTCCTTTTCCCCAAGGCCTCACCAACACTTGTTATTTCTTGCCCATCATGCTCTTAGAATAGTGGTGAAGTATTTAATAAATATATGGAAAGATATCCTGAAGTTTCTTTTTTTCTAAATTTAGGATCTGATATTGGAAGGCAAAATCAAAAGAGCTATCAGAGAAATGTGGCCACTAGTTTAAGGCAGGCTCATGGGAGCCTGAGAAATAGTACTACTCGGTTACCTATTTAATCAAAGTGACAAGAAAATGCCATCTTTCGGAATAAACATAGAAGAAGGTGACACAATTGCAAGGGTGTTGAGCTCTTTCGTAAGAGAGGTACCTTAGGTTCTTGTTTTTTAAAAAATAGAATATGATAAAGCCAAACATAGCAGAAGGGATTTTTCTGCTGAGAAGTGGAATCAGTTATCTGGGCAACTTACACAGAAGATAAATAGTAACCTCTTTCTAACCCTTGCTAGGGGCTCAATTTATAATTTTAATAGAGATGGAGCCCAATTCTAGTTTTGCATTGATGTAACACAAGGGAGTTTCACAAGTTTTGTTATTTATTTATAATATATTTTTATTGATTTCTGAGAGGAAAGAAGAGGGAGAGAGATAGAAACAGCAATGATGAGAGAGAATCATTGATCGATTGCTTCCTGTGTGCTCCCTACTGGGGATGGAGCCCACAAGAGCATGCGCCCTTGACCGAATCGAACCCGGGACCCTTCAGTCTGCAGGCCGATGCTCTATCCACTGAGCCAAACCAGCTAGGACTTAATTTATTTTTAAACCCATCAAAACTGAGGCAAATTTGGCAAAATGTTAACATATTTCATAGCTAATTTTCAGACTCAGGTATTATAAATCAAGGCAGAAAGACTCCCGTTCAGTAACTTTCTACGATTCTCTATCCATTCAGGTTGTGGCCTTTATATTTTTTCATGTTCTGGAACAACCGGACACGTTAAGACAAAAAACCACTTCCTTTATCCCTTCAAGACAAAAACACACCCCATTTTCCTTGCAGACACAGTGGATTTCTCTGTCCCTAACGTTTCTAGTATAGTTTCAAACACCCGTAGTGACTACAACTTTTAACCAAAGTAATTAACCTCGGAATGAATTGGGGGTAAGTAATTGAGATTATACAAGCATTTCAGCAGACTAGCAGAGCTCACAAGGACACTTAACACGACTTTCTGCAGTCACACATGTCCCTTGCACAACTTAAAAAAAAATTGTGATAAAATACACCTAACGTAAAACTTACCATTTCAGTGATATTAAGTAATTCACATTGTTGTGCAATCATGACCACCCATCTCCAGAAACTCTTCTTCTTGAAACTCTGGGACCATTAAACACTAGCTCCCATTCTCCCATCTCCCCAATTCTACTTTCTATCTCTGTGATTTGACTACTATAGGTCCCTCATATAAGTGGACTCATACAGTGTTTGTCCTCAAGGTTCATTCATGTTGTAGTATATTGCAGAATTTTCTTCCCTTTTAAGGCTGAATAATATTCCATTGTACGTATCTACCACATTTCATCTATCCGCTTGCCCCTTGGTAGACATTTGAGTTGCTTCCATCTTTAAGCTTTGTGAATACTGTTGCTCTGAATATAGATGTACAAATATCTACTTGAGTCCCTACTTTCTCTTGCACAACTATCTAAAGTGTCAAAAATGAATTCACTCATTAACATGACCCAAAGATATAGCTGCTCTCCAGCACATAAAAGTAAGAAGTAAAAGACACAAGCTTACAATTATGCTTAGCAATTAAACTATCAGTATTACATTTTCTTAATTAATTTTTATTCATTCAAGTTTTTCATGTTACTAAAAATCTTGGAAAGTATGTTTAAAATGACATACTACAAAATATAAGTACTGTTGATATAAAATTTGTTTAGAATAATTAATCAATTTAGTTGAACACAAATTTAAATTGTTATAATCTTTTTCTTCAGATGTGCACAATTGGGTTTAACTTTTCTCTCTTTAACAGATTTTCTTTTTTATGTACTTGTTTATTTGTTTAATTTTTAAATGTATTTTTATTGATTTTAAAGAGAGAGGAAAGGAGAGTGAGAGAGAAACATTGATCAGTTGCCTCCTGCATGCACCCCCATCAGGGACCAAATGTATAACCTGGGCATGTGGCCTGACCGGGAATCAAACCAGTGACCTTTTGGTGCACGTGACTATGGTCAACCAACCAAGCCACACTGGCCAGGGCATGTACTTGTTTATTTTTATTGAATTTATTGGGTGACATTGGTTAATAAAATTATATAGGTTTCAGGTGTATAATTCTAATATTTTTATAACCCTAAACATTATGTACAGATAATGTTAGCTTATTTGATCAGTAAGACAAAATAAGAAGTGCAGGACATTCAGATGAACTAGTTTCTTCACAAAAAAACAAATCCAAGCCTTAAAAAAATAAAATGTATACTTGTATCATCCTATCTAATAATAGAGAAACATGGTAATTAGCCGTACCTCCGCTACCCTTCCCATTGGCTAATCAGGGCGATATGCAAATTAACTGCCAACCAAGATGGCGGCCGGCAGCCAAGCAGCTTGAAGCGAACAGGAGGCTTGCTTGCTTCAGTGACGGAGGAAGCCAACGTTCCC